GAGATTGGTATCAGTCATGACAAAGCTGGATCAGTTTATCCCTTGTTAATACTGGGGATAAAGCAACACCTTGATCAATATTATGATTAGTGACTAAACCCACCGGATTCATATTTTTCCTCACTATCCTCGCACAGAAGAGCAGCCCCACAGCAGCTGCTATCGTATCACTATATCACTATAACATTGTAACACTAATACAGCACACTAACTTCAGATACAAGGGCTGGATTTCGTTTGTGCACATGATTTAATCCACACCATGCTGAGTTGTATAATTAGTCAAAGTGTCCCTGCCTGTCGTACATTATAATTGCAAATGAGCGTGATGTCCAGAGGAGATCCTGGTGTGGAAATGTTGTTGCGCTGAATGACAGGTTCTTTAAAGCGCAGTGGAACCAGATCCATGAGTAACATAGATATCTTGAGTGCCGGCCTACAAATGCCGAGGAGGTTAGCGCAGGAAATGCCTTTTGTGACTTTCCATTTGCTCAGCGATACAGCATTACATAGGATGAGCAATAAGTCAGAATCTAGAGGCTACTGTACATCCATGGGTTTCAGAATGATGACAAATTAGATTCCTTAGCTATCAGGAAATGAAGAAAAAATGCAAATCATAACATGAAGCAAATATTAAGATTAATCGAGTCATGGGATAGAATTACTGTTGTACTACTGTCTGTGTAGTAGTGCAATAATATGTCTACATTTGATACTGCTAAACTCTCAGACCACACGGCTGGAGGACCTTACTTAACTTTTTTGTCTTCACAGAAATAGTTTTGTTTAAGCTTACCCTTTGGAGAACAAAAGGGTAAGCTTTTGTTCACATTTGTTCTACATTTGGAATGAAGTGTATGGCTATGGTATCAATAAAAATAGCGACAAGGAGACAAGGAAATATGTTTATCCGAAACTATGGTATTTATGTCGTGAAATATTTTACAGGAAGGAAACAATATATTTCTATGTATTCCTAATATTGGGTTGTCTGCTGCACTGTGTACTTTTGGATGTGTATTCCTCTGTATACCATTTATTCAATAGTTTTGGAGTAAACAAAACAATATAAATGCAAGAAACCTCTGTGACATACCAGTTCACAGAGGATGATAATTTAGTATGCATATTTTTAAGAGGCACAAATCCATTGCAATGATTAGCCCTGGGATAATGTGTGTGTGCCCAGCCTGTGTCCCATAGGAGGTGTATCTGCAAAACGGTCTGGGATCACATGCTCATAGGCAGGATTCTAGCCTCTCAGGTGTCTACTTGAGCCTTAAATAACAACGTAGCTTTAAAAATGGACGATGAGTTAATTGCAGGGAAGGGACAGACCGGTAAGGCAGTCTCTGTAGTAGGAGATTATGAAGCCACAAAATGCACTAATAGTGACATAAATCTTGTTGCGTTTCCATTTTACTGTCCCTCTCTTCAAATAAATATAAAAGTGGACTGGGTCTACTGTAGTATAAATATGCCTAATTAAAGCAGGCACACAGCAATAATATTCTCATTAGTTGGAGCTCAATGCAAAACAGACAAAAAATAAAACTGGATGATTTGCGCAAACAAACGTCTGATTTAATTTTGCGTTTAATTCGCTGTGGATGCTTGTTATTAATGTGATGTCATTGGTGCTAATCCCTAGTTGCAGAAGCTTTGGAAGAGGAAAGACCTGCAGTAGCATCAATCAGAGTTTTCACTTCCTATTGAACGCTATTGCTTAAAGCTGGGGTGCCTAGTGTTTTGTTTGTCCCACTTGATAGTCTTTTAAATAAAAAAATACAAAACAAAACAGTATTGTATTTATGTTACTGTCTTAATGTATTTTTTGTCTTAATAAAAACGTATTTTTAATTGGCTCAGTCAGGGCAGGTCTCTCTCTTTCATTTTTCTGTTTGCTAAAGCTGATTTAAATAAGTAGCAGAGGCAAAAAACATGGATGTGAAAACTAGTGCCAGAACCAAACTGCTTCGAGCGGCAAATATTTTTCATGTTTCACTGTTAAAAGATGGTGTATTTTGAAAGTTACCCCAGATTTAATAACTGTAATACATTTCCCAACACAATGTTTTAATCTGTCAAATTATTACTTTTACTCTCTTTTTGTAATTTCTTCAGAAAGCGCAATAATTCAACACAATAGTTTTGAGAGCTGACGGTTAAAAAGAGTTTTAAACATGAGGTAAAATGGTTGACATCACTCCGGAGGGATGTGTTCATTAACATTTACAGTCCCAACCAAATAAACAATAAATAACATGAATAGATAGTGATAAAATGATGACCCCATTAAAGCTATGTTTGTGACATTCACGCAAAATTCAAACCAGAAAATGATTAAATTATAAAGAAAAATGTGTTGAGCGAATCCTAAACATATACAGGGAAACATTTGTCGCTACAATATTTTCTTCCAAAAGAATAAATCCACCAGAGCGTTACAGACCGCTGCCCTCTATCTGAAAATATGACATCTTCAAATCAAATTGCGGAACATAAACGCAACCTATTAATCCGAAGTGCCTTGCGTCGTCTGATGAGATGCAGGCTACATTATACCTTTTACTTCTGTGTGCTGCCTCAATATTCATCTCTATAAAATACACGAGTCAGGTCAAAGAACGGAATAAATCAGAGAAAACAGCACAGTGGCAGAAAGCACTAATAATGAACAACGGTGTGATTTATGGCGTAATTCCACCGGCAGCATCCAATATTAAACCTTCGATTTTCTGAGTTTGCATGGAAAAAATGTTTAAGAAGTCCGGAAGTGCTGCTCAAGTTAAGAAAATGAGAGATGCGATGAAAAATAAACTTTAAAAACTTGAGTGATAAAATACGTGGAATAGAGCTGCATGATGTTGGTAAAATATCTAGTCTGTATATAAAGCACACCAGCAACATTTTAACTAATTCTTTTTCTAAATTATAGGTCTCACTCGGATATCAGTTTTTAGATGTTGAAATCTAACATTTTGCTATAAAGTTATCATGATTCGATGCTAAATAACTAAATTCTTGCATGTATTTGAATTATTTTTATAGGGTGGGAGTCTAACTTTTTACTTCTTTCCCACTACATTTTGAGCTGACAATATAGAAATTCATTTGTAAATACATATTGAAATTGTAAAAAAACCAAACATGGTGAAACTAGGGCAAATATTGCTGCTTGATTATATATTTATATGTTTGCATGTAAGTAAGTGAGTAAGTAATGTTTATTTATAAAGTGCATTTTTATAGACTAAGGTCACCCAAAGAGCTTTACAATGTTCCCAGTTCAGATATTGTTCAACACCATCCATTCACGCTCTCATTTACATTCATACATACTGTAATGTGCATGTTTTTAGTGGTAGGGGGGAACCGGAGCACCCGGATGAAACCTGCGCAGATACGGGGAGAACATGCACACTCCACTTAGAAAGGCCTTGTTCCGACCAGGATTGAAACCTAGGACCTTCTAGCTGAGAAGCGAGAGTGCTATCCACTCAGCCCATATGTGTGTAGTGTAAGCACAGAAGGCAACATGTACAAAAGGTCATGTAAACTAAGGAATGTAAATATTGTAAATACTTTCTGCTTAAATGAATAAATTAATCAATCAAACACACACAGCTGATGGAGCAAACTGTTTTTACAACGATTCATGACGAGGATATATTTTTGTTATACTTTCATGCATCAAACTGAACATTGCTGACAGCCACACACAATTGAAATTCAGTCAACACAGTTTAGTTGGAAAGCTTTCTTGTCATGGTTGATATGTTCAAGATGACTAATTAATTAAGAGAGAGAAAACATCTTGTTTATTACTATTTTCCAGCAGCTGCTAAATTGTCAATGGAGCAACCAAGCATTGGCACTAGAGCCGGATTTACGAGTACCACTTGAGTACAATTGAATGAGGAGCAGAAGTATACAGTCATAAAAGTACATTGTCCTTGAAGACAGGGTGTGTAAGAAAAGTAAGAGTTTAACAAAAATCCAATGTGAGCACAGAAGGACAAGACATTGGATATTATTACTCATGAGTTGAAGTCAGAGCTTAAATGTGCATCTCGTTTTGAATGCAAATATTGACATGACGTCATCTGGCTTTTGGAGCTGTCGGAGGCTACTTAAACTTCCTTCTGTGAGTTGGTTTTGCATTTACTGCCTGCCAACAACAACTTTTCCACTTCAACTCAACTCCCATCCTTAAAATAAAAAAAACATTCTCTGCAACCTTTTCTCTTCACCTTCGTAGACAACAACCACGACTGATTATCGCAATCAAAAGAGAAGTACATTTACAAAATGCAGTAGTGGTGACAGCAGCCTTTCCGAACTTCACCTTGTTGTGTATTCTTTGAATCCATCTTGCATGACATGTTTTTCCTCTGGCAGCAGTTTGTTGACACGAGGAAAACACTGAGAAATGAGGCACCTTTTTTCTATTTAATGTCTCACTGACCATCTAAAAATCTGGCTGAGAGCGTGTCGTTCCAGGCAACCAGGGAAAAAACAGGAAATATTGCTTCTGACTGAGCATATGAATAGAAAAATAAAACATTTCAAGTTCCCCACTTAGGAATTTGTATCCAAACGACTTAATTCACTGACACATTTTCAAAATGAGGAAGCAGCAGGTTACTTCAACACATTTGCAAATGACTGCAGTTGGATTTAAAAGCATGCTGTAAAGTTTAACCGGACACAACAAGGATGGAATTTACAGTAATCTGAAAATGAGTTTAGCATATTAGTATTCCAAACATCAGTACATATCAATTAATGTGAGTAGAGAAGGACATTGAAGGCGAGGACACGAGACGAGATCTACTCAAGATAAGGCAAGCACCTGAACAGTCTGCTCTGACTGCAATACCTTCGGGCACCGCGTAGAAAATGAAAAGCCTATAAGAATTGATTCTCTGACAAAACGAGATCGGGCTGATGTGCTATGTATAGAATATATGTCTTCTGGAAATAGTAGTAGTTACCTTCTCCGCATCGATCCCCTTTTGCCCTTCTGCTCCAACTTCCCCCTGCAATGACAAAATTGAAAGTTAAGCAAGGAAGGGAACTGAGAAAAGTTTCCAATTGCAATTTCCAGACAACCTATTGTTAAACAATTGAGACATATTGGGATTATTTGATTTTAGTATTTATAAACAACTCAGGTATACAGAGCTAGTATCAATATGTATGCCAACATTAACAACAAGTAAATGACTTTAGAGACCAAAACAAAGTGCATTCATGGATTAGGTTTATAAAAAGGAACATTCATATATAAGCAGAAGTGTCTAAGATCAGCTAAGGCAAGCCAAGTTTATTTGTATAGCCCAATTCATACACAAGGCCACTCATTCTGTTCCTATATCTGTCAGCTACATCTGTTCCCAGTTCCCCCAGCAGAAATAACTGCCCAACCCATGACAGAACTGTGAACAAGGAACTTGCTTCTGCATCTTTATTGAAACAAATTGTGTAAATGTTGTAATGTTACTTGCATAACCCCATATCATAAAACCATTTCTTGATTGTTTTAAATACAGAGTAAACTAAGTTAAGTATTAGTTTAACATGTATGTATGCCATGTGGCATGGGGCTATGGCTTGAGCTGGTAAAGGAAAGAAGGCAGACAATACAATATGTGGCATTCTCAGCTCTGAAAGAATAATAATCTTGCAATATAGATACAGTATTGGCTGCAAATGCAATCATGCAGGTAGAAGCCTGGTGCCAGCTAACTGAACTGCTTAATAAAAAATATAAATATTCTCCATAATATAGCCGAAAATAGATATGACTAGAAAATAAGGACATGGTATGGAGACTGGCCACTAGATTGACAAAAAACCAAAAACATTGGCTAGAGGCTCTCAAAGAAGTAATGAAGAACAACTGGGAGGATAGCAGACTGGAAAAAGTATGTACGTTTTAAACCAATACATTGTCATATTTTTATCTATTATAATCCCAAAATGAAAAGAAAAAAAATATAGTTGTATCAGTCCAATCAGACTAAGAAGGACACACTGTATAATGAAAGTCAAACTGTGCTATGGCCCACAACAGCTGCCACAACTTTCTTAGCATTTACTGGCTCTATAAAAAATACCCTCCAAACTCACTCGGGGATCATTTCTGCAATGGACAACACCTTGCACTGTGGCGATACTGATAAAAAAAAGCTCTTACCAGCACTTGCCGCTGCCCTATTGGCTCCATGAACCGCATTATTTCATCCCCAGCCGAGTCTATATCATGATTATTATTCCTTATGCAGTGGGGGAGTAAGCTGGTAGTGGCTTAAACCACAAATTCTCTATAACATGAGAGCAGCTTACTTTCCAAGTCCCAAACTGCAATTTTCAGACTCCAAATGCTATACTTGGAATTAGCTGTTTTTTATAGTGTGAAAGTAACACTTCTATGACCTCAGCAAGCCAATAAAGCTCAACAAATGTCACATGCCAGTGTCCAGAAGTAACTGTATCATTCAGCTGTTACTGTGAAAGGGGAGAAAACTCTATAACAAATTATTAACAAAAAATATACATCAATAATACATCAAGAGAACATGATGACAGTGAGAACTGAACAGAGACTAAATCAAATCAAACCATGCAAAGTCTGGTAACATCCTTCATTTGGTTGAATGTGAATAATAAATTGTTTATGTGTACATTATGTGTACATTTTGTATATATATATATGTAATATACATTATTATATTACATGCATATAGGACATGCAGAGAATTAACTACTGCTCTAACATGCATGGATATATAACAGTACTTAAAAAATGTCAATGGGAATGAGGGGAATATGGTCTGGGCCAATGATAATGTCAATGATTTGTCTAAATGTTAAGTGGTAGATGTTTTGAACATGATAATCAACCCTCATTTACATGCACTTACATAACCATAGCTTTTAAGTGCCAACATAACTTCCATGTTAAATATTCCACTGTTCCAAGGTTCAATATGACACAAAAATAATAAAGTCTTTCTAATTGGTTGCTTTTGGTGGTACAAGTTTAACAGTGAAGGCCAATGCAGCTGACACCACGACCCCAGCACAGCCTCTCCTCGAGCAGAGACAAGGACATGATCCCCCTGGCTCCTCTCCAGAAACAACCAACTGTGTTCAGGACCAGAGCACAGGCCACATCTCCCACTGCAAATACACTCTTCTCTGTGCCACCATTCTCCTCTCTGTTACAAAAGACATTTTTTGAACTAATGAATGCCAAACAGTAAAGTGACTATGAATAGTCCTAATAAGATAAGCTAAGATAACCTTTATTCCTCCCCCAGTGGGGACATTTCACTGTCATTGTAGTGCACATTACTGGTGAAATTACCAGAGAAACTCAGAATACACACACATCAAAAATTATTATGCATCATATAAGATAATAGATCATGTATTTTAACTGTTTTTAAAATGTACTCTTTACTTGTATGTAAGGCGACCTTGAGTGTCAAGAAAGGCGCCTAAGAAAAAAAATGTATTATTATTATTATTATTATCATATTGAATAATAAACAGATAATACACTCTTTAATATGTACACTTGTGGAGTATACACTGTAGTTTTTTGTCTGCAAACAGAGAGAAGCAAAACAGTAGCCCACTAAGATCAATGCCTCTCTCATTCATAACACTGTACGTTGAATTTCTAATTTGACCATAAAAAAGAAACGTTTCATAGTTAACAAATTTGACATAGAGACAGTTGATATTACTTCCCCATGCAATAACTTAGAAGTTCAAATTACCCAGCAGAACACTGTTGCTCTAAAGTGGGGGGGGCGGGACAAATTAGTAAGTAATTAGTGTTTCCACAGGGCCACGCTAGTTCTATTTCAATCCACTTCTGTCTCTGCCTAGTTTTATTTAGGCCCTCTAACTCTCAAACTTTTATTCGCTTTTGTTGCCCTTCCATTTTGGCCAAAATAACTTAAAACTGCCGTGAGCTGTTTACATAAACTGCCCACATTGCAATTTCAATTGGTACCTAAAATCATTTAAGTTAGGCAGAATGAATAATTGTTTTAATGATTGTTTTATTGAATTTTATTACATAATATTGACATCATCTTATCATCACACTACATTATCAACAAAACAAGCACCTAACAATAATCTAATCCACTTTAGAATTACAAAACGAATTTACAAACTCGGTCAAAATAGGCTTGAATCAGGGTTTTAATTCAGGGCAAGATTTTGATAAAACGATACATATTCTATACTTAACGAATGAATTGTAATAACTCAAAGAAGCACAAACTCATAACTATAATGTCCAGAAAATTAAACACAAACTGTGAAATACTCGCACGATTCCACAAAAATAAGAAGCAAGAAATAGAAGCTGTTTAACAACCAAGAAATAGTTTTGAAGAATGGGTTTATTATTGGAGTACCCTGATGATGATGATGATCTGTCGAGGAACCATAAGTGCAGATCTCTTGGCCTCTGTGCCCAGAACAGGAGACTGGACACAGAGCAGTTAGTGAAAGCTTCTTAGTTCACACATTAGAGAATAGCTTTATGGAGGTTTGTCATTTCATCAAAGGTCTTGCTCTTACAGCTGTTCCACTGGTTCTTGCTGATCCTCTGTCACAGCAGCTGCATGGACAGATAATATTACCCCAACAACTGGCTGCAATGACCTTAGATAGGCGTTAAATTACCATCTTAATACCCTTATTATATTTTTAAGAGGACAAAAAGAGGCTTTATAGTGAGCAGAATAGCCTTACAAAGTAGTATTAAAACTAGTGTGAACAGGCAAGATAAGGACAAAAATCAGCCGAGGCGTGTGTGGAGGAGAAGATGGAGGCAGATAGTAATTTGGCAAATTAAACTAACAAAGAATTTGCTTCAAGCTACGAATCTAATTAAGCACAATGTCCATTCATGGGCACATCTTCATTTCAAGGCCTGTTTGCTAACGCACAGATGTAAGGAAGTGGAGCTAAATATAATGAGCCGAGTGCTATTATTCCTCAGTCTTAAAACTGCGTGGAAACATCAAATGTGTATGGGATAGATTCCAGCAATCCTCCTCAGCAATACTCACTAAGACAAAACGTAAATATAATGTAGTTGATATTGAACTAATTTTTTAGAGTGCAGACCTCTGTCCTGTAATTGAACATTTAGTCAAAATCCACCAACTTTGTGCGTTATGTAGCTCACTAACTAACAAATGTACAGCCTCATAAAACATAATCCCAAGGCGGAGATATTAAAAACGGACTACTGCGTTACATTCACCAAAACGCAAAAAATTTAGCGTCTTGATTTGTTTTTGATGAATTGGAATAGAAGGGGATATATCATCTCAGTATGTCTTCTGAAATCTATATTATGAAAATGATACAACAGCAGGTGCTCATGGAAACATAAGGCTGAGTTCTCCATCACTTTCTCTGACATATATCCAAGATGCCAAATGAAAATATACTTTTTCATCACCCCCATCATGGATTTAAACACAATTGTTGAAATGTAGAGTGGCTTCAAAGAGTGCAAATCAAATTAGAAGTAACAAGAGTTTTAACGTCTTCATTACGTTTCCATTAGTGTTTTCTATGCATGTGTGCACAGGAGCTGTAAGTCTAGTAATACCAGGGTTTATATGCAAGGCCATAAAAAATGGATTTTTCTGCATTCTTATAACCTACTACTTATCTGTTTAATTTCCTGAGGGATTGTGGATTAATCATAGCGGGGTAATCCCTTTGCAGAGCATTCGTATCCTTCCTCAAACTCACTGTATGTGGATGGCACTCTGGGTGAAGTAGAAAACGAGTAATCCCTCATCAAGTTCCTCGGGCTTGTGCGGAGGTCATGCTGATTGGCCTGCACTTTCCATCATAGCTATTTTAAAGGCTCTAAATTGGCTTGATGTCTGATTAATCACTACAAAGTCAAGTTAAATTGTTTTACTCTTGACGATTTTTAAGTCTAATTCTTATGTTGCTAAGTCACTCTCATGGGCGTAGGACTAATTGTTAACCATGACATTGTAAACCTGCTGTAATGAATTGCAACAAAAATCGAATAACTACTTAACAGTCGATGGGGCTTTCCAGGATATTTCTGGATCAATATAAATTCAACATATTTAAAGAGTGTACTGTGGTCATAATCAAGCAGACAGATTAATGTTTAGGGAGGTCAGAGAGAATGGGAGAGAAGCCATTACGACACAGAGCTGTGTCAAAGCGAGACATGTTTGATACACTGCACAGATGGCTTCACATAAACACTGGAGCCATCGCTGACACCGGTGTTAAACCAGAACAATAATTGATCACTGATATAGAAATTAAGGTCCTGAAGATAACAAACTAGTATAAAAACGACTTTTATTCCCAAGATATTATTCAAACTTTTCCACAGATGTGGTAATACATATTAGAAATACAAGTGCAAATTGTCTTACACTAATTATTATTACCGACCAGATCTGTTAAAAGACACATCCAATGACTACAGCCAAGGGTCAATAAAACAATGAAATGCATCAATATGATATATGTCATAACATGAATATGTGTTGGATTAGGTCTAAAAAGCCGATATCCCTATGAGCTTTTCATTTAATGTAATGCGACTATTTACGGCTGTTATTAACCCACAATGATATAGAGTTTCAAAGTTGTTATGTTGCCTCATTTGAACAGATTTTTGAATAATCTACTGGGATTTAAGGGGGAGTTCTAGTTTCAGTGCTTTCACAGGCTTAGTATAGACTTAATAATGTAAATCCAGAATATTGTTTGTTTTGGTACAGTATATGATTTGTGCTATTTTCTACAGAAACAAGCTCATACTGAATGACATGAGTCCTAAATTATGCCCATTGCTCTTGCCACTAGATATTTCTAATACTTTGGTTCCAACTTTTTTGGTAGTGAGCCTAAATTTCTTCAGACACATTTAAGTTTCTTGATGCACCAAAGTGAGTTCAAGTAATTGGCTGAGTGGCACTCAAGCCACTTTCTGCAGACATATTGATTGGCCTTATTTTGACAAATGTCTTTCATATTATTGCAATAAATCACAGAACCTGTTCTGGTGCAAAGCCTAGTCCTCACTGTGCTTAGGTAAATGAGTTCAGGTATCTGTATTTCCATGCAGACTGCCAGCCTGATATTATTTTCCTAACCACATTGATTTAGTTTTCAGGTCTGTAATAGGATTCACTATGAATATTGTTGTTTAGTAAGTAAACAAAAGGTGCCAGGTATTGATTTGTTGAAGACCTGAAATAAGATTTCAAGCATTAACAGTGCATGCAGGAGCTCAGGCCCTGCAGAGATGTTAAAAAAGAGCTCTATTCTTGAGAACGGCAAGGTTTAACCATCAATGTATGTCGGAACATAATCTAAGTGCGAGGGTCACATTTGCCCACATCCTATCAGATCAGATTAAAACCAGATTTAGCTCCAAATGCCTCCATTTGGGATTATCTGTAGGACAGTGTCAAGAGCAGCACTGGATTTGCAATACTAAGTTTACATAGCTCAGAGTGTCCGTATGTTTCTTAGCCCTGAGCGGTCCCTTCAGTCTCTTCAAGTAATTAATCACCAGCTCCAAAGCCAAACTCAAGTTCACTTACTCACCAAAGCGTGGGAGCTGAACCCTGCTAGGTCAATTAAGAATCATTAGAGGCCAATTAGAACACATTTACAAATCTGATTAGTTCAATCTGTTATACAATACACACTCTAGGATGTGTTTTCTTACTGCAAATAATATAATAAGAATGACCCCAAGAAATTAACGGATATTTGCCTCTATGCGAATATCATCTGTTTGTGTTATTTGATAATTGAGGATTTATTTTAATTTAGGAATAGGAATCTTAATTTTCTATTAAAATGTATGGACAATTTGTTTAACCAATAATTCATGTTAATGAGTTCTGGGATGACATTTTTTTATAAGTTTCTTTGAATTTCCAATTATCTTGGCAACATCTGAAAATACGATTCAATTGACCTTTGAGATAACTTCAGCTGGCATCACATTCATAATATATAGAATTCTAATGATATATCTTAATTTACGCAATAATTATTAGATAAATTGCATCAACAATGTGTTCTCATTATATCCCTTGCTTTATGAAATAATGGTACGGTTCACTGTGTCAGAATATATTTTACATATTGCGGTAAATTTCCTTTAATAAAAAAAAAACAGATTTTTTTTATTTATTAATTTAATAGAAGAAAATAGAATCTGTAAATGCTAATGACTAAATAAAAGTCATAGCCCATCCATTCATCCAGAAGAACAGAGTGTTCCGTCGTTGGTTGTGATTGTTTTTTAACGCATGCAAATTGGTGTCAAAGTCGTGCGGACGTCTCTTTTGCATGCTGTTTTTCATAATCCCACACTAAGAGCCAGGGAAATCAGCTTCCTCCTTTGTGCTCGGAAAAAGGGATCAACAATTGCTCAGGTGAAAAGACTAAACACTGATCCTGCATCTCAACAAGTCTCCATTTAGCATCCGGTCGTGAGGCTGCGCTCAGTCATTTAGATACTGTATCTTAAACCTACCAGCACCTCGCTCTATTTAGGACAGTGACCCCAAAGCCAGTAACAACACCTGTTCATCCATAGGAATAATACCATTTATAACACCATGAACCTTCTGCTCTTCTCTACTCAACTCTCTCTTCAAATAATAAAAGGTTACACCTAAAAACAAAATCATAGATATAGGCAGAATATATCAAATGCATGAACAAAGTATAGGAGGATGTGACAGAACTATTTTACTGTCACTTCATCCTAACTGATCAAACCCACGTCTAAAACATAGAGGACAGGTGTTCACTGGCTCTAATCTGCACCAATCATACAATAGATTTAACTTAATACAATAATGTTACATTTAAAGGGAAAAGTTGCACATTTACAATGAAGCAGCACCGGAAGCATGTTTTACGCTCTCCAATAAAACATGCTCACAAGCAATTATTAAACCGTAGAACGTCCAACCCATACAATATAATATCACAGTACAATGGTATCATCAAGGCCATAATTGTTTTGAAAGCTGCTCAATCCGACCTCAAGTCTTTCCTTTAAGGCCGTTTCCAATGCGTTACATTTGAATCTTTTCACCAACAGAGCTGGTGGTTTGTTGCTGGAAATACCTTCAGCACAACCGCTTTGTTCATAATTGATGGTTGAGTAAATGGAATGGTTCGGCTACAACATTACACTATACTCAATTAGGGGCCATTGGAGGAGGCATTGATCGTACCTTTTCACCAGGACAGTGGCATCTGTCAATGGGCTGCGATGGCGGCTGAGACAGCATCTGGGGGAGCTGCGCAGTAACCAGGGGAGGGGAAGTCCCATTAAGTGTCTCCCAGACTTCACACTGGATCAATAGAAAAATATCACCGTTTAGACACAGCATGTCACTATCCAACAAACACAGACTTTTCAGGCTTAAAGGCTGCAGTGATGGTAATGTTATAAGTTTGTCCCAAGCCCAATTTGTGGTGGCCTGATTCCACACTATTTACATCTTTGTGTTGGATATTTTTCTTTGTATCCCAGATTCAAAAGAGAAGGGATATTAACGTTGCATTTATAATCGCACTAATATATATGCAGTACCTTTGACATTCACATTTTATCTATTTCACTTTTCACACATAAAACCTTTGCCATTTACTTTTTTGAGCAACTGTGTAATTTCACTTGTGGATCAAGTCAAACCTTAATTCAGATAATTATATTTCTTATCATTATCTTTAAAAATGTTGTTTTTAGTTAACAAACTCAGACACGTAACGCTAACCCTAATAGAATAATCTATAAGTTTGTATACATTGGTACCTCCACCCAGAGTTCCAACTTGGCCTGCATGTGTCACCATGTAAACTGTTCATAATCGTTTTAGACTCCAATTAGACAATTAAGTTACAACTATATGTTATATTTATTTTTAATTTTATATTCACAATGTGCTAAAAATACAGTCAGAGAGGGTTCTTCTCAGGATTCTCTTGTTCTTTTGATTCTTAGTAGTGATGCAGTAACACTAGACGGACATGACAGCATGCTTATGAGGACACCTAATGGCACAGGGTCAGAGGTGGCGGCTGCATTTGGAATTACTGTAACCAAAGCCTATATGGATTTATTGTGATGAAAGAGCTATGTTATTGTGTTTCTATCTAGGGAACAAACCAACACTCTATTGAAACTCAATAGAAGCCATCCACAAGCTTCCAGTTACACCAAACTCTTAATAAATCATGGTAAACTTCCTTGTACACAAACACATGCATTATTGAAGACAAAACAATGAAAATTTCAGTACCAAATTTGCCTTCTAAATAATTCAAGCTTGTAGTTTGTTGCTGAAATAATGCAATGACGTGCAATACCTTTGGTTCAATCAGTTCACAACAGTTTTCCATTTCAGCCATATATGGGTCACAGTAGATCATGAGTTGCTTCAATTCAATCTGCGGACAAAGAAAACAGATCCATTAAAAAAAAAATGAGATGGACAAGTTTGAATTATTCATGCCACATATCCAATACACCATATTTATAGTTTGAGAAGCAGCTGTCTATATTTGTATCTAAAATAACAAATAAATGCAGAATACATCAAAAAAATTAGGTGAGAAAAAATGGCTTTGCTCTTAAAAGAATATTACGATACCGACAATTCTGATTATAAGGTAATTGTTTTATGAAATTGACAAAGCTTTGTGTATAATGGCTGTACAAAAGGCTGGATAGAAATACTCAATGAAATGGAAAAGTGTGCTGCCGTACATCTACAGGTCGACCATCCTCTACTCTTGTGGTAATGAGGGTTCTTCCACTGGATTCGACGCTCTCCTTTTCATCGGTCAGTTTCCTTTCCACCAGCTCACAGTCCATGTACATAGACACGATGTTGCTCTGCACGGAGATGCCCAGCTTGTGCCACTGCCGATCGAACAGGTTCTGCAGATCTCTGCTTTTGAATGTGTAGCGGAGTGTGTTCTTGAGAGCGCTTTGGTAAGAAAACTCCACAACCTTCTTGGAGCCATCAACCACAACAGAAACCTGAGAAAACACACAACAATACTATTTATTAAAAAAAATTGAGCTCATAAAAACAAAAATACATAGTAACAGACCTGAGAGATTCCTGATTGGTTAAAAATCTGCCAAAGATACCAGCGGTCTTTTTTTGTTGTTCTTCGCACTCGGAAGGTGGTGACCAACGAGTATTCACTTGAAAGCCCATTTGGAAACACAGACCTATACAAGTATATAACAGAAAATATTATTTTGGTAACAATACGGTTGACATAATCAACACCAGATTGTACACTTTCAGTAACACAGAACAATGCCTTCAAGTCTGATGCCAGTCAACTTCAATGATCGATAAAACCTTTCAGTGTCCTTCTATGCCAGAGAGTCATAAATACAACCTGACAAAGGGGATTTCCATCAGGACTGATGCTTACAGCTCTGGCTTCATTGTCATTTAGATAATGTACAACTTGAATCAGAGTCAAAACCTAAATCTTTTACTGGAATTTACAGTAGGACACCATTGTTCAAGGTTTCATCAATCACAGATGCTCTGTAAGGACAGTACTTTTACTAGAACATGTATTTAAAAAAAAGGGCATAATATGTTTTCTTTTACTAAAACAAGAGCCAAGGGTCTTGTCTGTAAAGGTTACTGTTGTAACTGTACAGTGGACGTGTGAAAACAAAAAAGAACTGTGCTAATCAAAAATATTTGTTTTTCATCTTTGCAATGCCCAACACCTATCCAATCCAGAATTCAGGCTATCGTTTAATATTAAAATTATGTCCTGTTTTTTTTTTTTTTTCTGTTTATTACCATACTTTTTCCCAATAGGCCATGTTTATTCTTTTTTTACAGATTCAGTAAATTACGATATTGCCATTTTGGCCTCCTTCAAAATGACGCAATTCTTCCATCACTGATCCTCCTGCAGGTGGCGAGTCCACAGGAAGATGGCTTCTCTGTCAGCAACAGCATAGCCTTGATCTTTTAGCAGGGGATTCAGGCAAGGTAGGGTCAAGGACACAATGACAGCAGACATCAGTGGGAGTTGGTTGAAAAGGTCTTGTGGTGGGCTCAAACCCACCACCTTCAGGCTCAAAGGCCAATGCTCTATCAACTAAGCCACTGTCACCCATAATTAGGAACGTTGTTAATTATATAGCATGGGCAATGTCTATTTAGCAAATAGTGGAGAAAAGTCATCATAATTTATAATAACTGTGACAATAATACCGTAATCCTTAAACATAAGGGCACTCCACACCAACTGCATGTTCAGATTCTTCTATCAACAATAGTTTCATGGATGTTATAGCAGAATCGTACATTAACTGAAAGTTGAGATTAGCAGTGTTAAGCATAAACATAATAAATCAAGATTGACCAAAATAATAATATTGCTGTGATAAGGTCATTGGAGAGGCAGGGCACAGCCCGAGGGAGACTTTCACCGACAGGCTGGAAATTAGTTTTCGCTTCAATATATCATCTCCTATTCTCTCTCAGCTTTACGCACCTTCTACTGTGCCTCCTGAATTCTAACCATTTTTACTCTATGGTACATGGCTGAATTGATAGATACACCTAAAAACCATCAAATAGCTTATCTGAAGAACAAAAGGTTATTTGTTGACTTGGGGCTAGTAGGTAAGAAGTCTATTTTAGCTACAATTGAATATCAGAAGTGACATGTTCAATTTAAAATAAGTGAGAATTTATTAAAAATCTCTCTGAGCCACCGCAGTATATGTGAAATGGAAAACCAACAGCATAATACTAGATCTTCATTAAGGTAATAGCACATCTGTTAGAACCTGGACTTCACACCCTGCTTCACAAAATTCCCAAGTTCAACAGCTCTGATTTCAAAACATGACCTGTCTACAGAGACACACTTGATCTCCGGCTGCCCACAACGTCAAAGTGCATGACCCTATGCTGACTAAACGGTTGAACGCTTTTGGATTGAAGGACTTTTGTAAAACTATCAATGTGCCAATTTGTAATTTAAAGTATTGGGAATATATAACATTGGAAAGATACCAAGGTACACTGTAATGTGTACCTTGCTCATGTACGCGAGTACGGAACGTTGTCAGAATTGTAGGGCAGCGATTACATGCGGTTTTTAATGTGGCACTGTGTTTCCTTATAATTGGAAAATTAGATATTTTTGCTTTCTAATGTGGTAGTATTTAATGTGCAAGACACTCCAAAATGATAAATTATCAAATTAAATCCATGTGTTTTCTTCAAGCCACAGTTGAAAATCAATGGTGCATTTGTGTGTCCTCTATTCTATCTCTGAACTTTGTGTGAGTCACTCTGTATCCGAGACACTGGTTTGACAGAGTTTGTAACAGTAATCACAGTTAGAGAGAGAATACACCGGAAACTGCTTCACCAGAAACTCTATCCAGAGGCTCCTACAGATGACTAACAGCATCGGATTTCTCCAGCTGAAACAATCAAACCTCAAATGTTAGCCGAGTTGGCTCCCATCTCTATCAGTGACACACAATCCTACAGCTGATCAAAGTGGAGCCAACCATGTCGCTCCATGGACTAAAGCCATAATTTATTCTTTTCTTGTTCAACTGTAAAACTGTGGAGCCTGCCAACATGATTGAGACACACTGATCGAGCCAAATCGAAAGCATGCTTGCAGTCGGCATGAGTCACTGTTATACAGATAACCAAACACAAATGTCATCTTTGCACCTGTACTACTAACTAACTGAGTATGTGAATATGTAAACATGACGTATATCTTTAAAACAGTCAAAAACACACACAACTTTATGCACACATTCAAGATGTTCCTCGTAGGTGAGAAAGATTCGCTTTTTTTTCTATGTTATAACAGCACATCTTGACATTTTAGAGATTGCATGTAATTAATCTTATTTTTGAGTCATTTAATTGCATTGTGGACTGCTATTATGAAACTTGGTCTACAGTTTTGATTTGCCTAGAATTTTGAGCAATGTGTGAGAATGTGACGAACAACTCTGGGCAGCTGCATATCGTGAATGTGACAGAAAAAAACATTACAGCACTTGTCTAGCAGCCATGGTGAATCTGCATATAAAGGGGACTTATTTTGAGTGATACAGTGTGAAAATGGAGTGTTAAAGACGTGAAGATGCTATGATTTTGCTGCTCACTAGCACGTAAAGTAGATTCATCTTCGAAGAGATCTGTGCAATGTGTTGACAGGTGATTTCTATAGATGAGAGAAAATATTCCAATATGAACATTAAACCAGACATAATATTGACCTGTTTCGTTGTACAGAGCATACACTCTGTGCAAAATGCTGACAAACCAATATGACTAGCTACTTAATAATTGCCATCAGACCAAAAAATTACAATGCAACCTTTCTCTTTGCTGCACGTGGCTTTGTCAGTAAGTGGCCTAGTCATTATGCAAACATGTGGCTGCATAATGTATATTGACAGAATAGTGATTTTATGATTTTCAATGGGCACATTTTGTCATTATGGTAAATATTACATTTAATATATGCTCAAATGAACAGAAAGCTCGCACAAGACAAGGTCAAATTTGCCATGAAAAATAGTTAGCGTGTGGTGCTTTTATAGAGTCTAGAAGCACATCATGAATGCAAACCTAATGTGCATTAGGTGGGGCCATACATTATCCCACACGAGCAGACCACTGCTATGTCAGCCCTGATATATGTATTCTAATACACACTGTGAGACCTTGCAGAGCAGTAACTGGTTCTGGTTAGGGCTATATGCATGGGGTAAAGTGAGCAATGTCTTAGCAGGTCTTAGCAATGGGGGAAGAGGACCTTCTGCTTCATGCAATTGCCCTCGCTTCCCCTCCTCAGCTGACATGCGGTATCACTTGTCAAACTACTTAGATAATTGGATATGAGAGGGGAGCCTGCTCTGGCCACTATAACCAATGATAGTGTCAGCAGTGTCATTGAAAACCACCACATCTTCCTGCATTTTATGCACAGACATAGGGCTATAGGAGGGCTGTCAGACTGAGGGTAAACAGAATCACCTGATACAAAAATGTATTTCAGTTGAAGACTAGAGAGCAAGGAGAGAGTAGGGCGTGAATGTTTACAGTTGCATGTCATGTAAAAAACTAAAAATATCATGCCCTCTGGAAGAACGACAAAGTGTACTCTTTCAAAGTTTCAACCCTACAGATTCAACTTAAGGGGCAACACCTAACAAATGTATAATGTGGACCTTGAAACCAAGTATGCAACAATAGCCTTTATTGTAGAAAAGTACAAATGTGAATTACATTAGGGGTGTAACAATTTGGTTCAATTTGCAATGCAGGGCCCACAAGTCACAATGCACTGGGATGCATACAATGACTAAAATACACAAAGCACACAACATAACACCATCGTCTTTTATTGATTTATCCCATGATCGATTGATCTGTGCTGATCTCACCACAGAAATCCGTTTGGGAGGTTAGAAACAGACCCAACCACTTGAGGTTATACAACTTATACAAAACGATCCATGACAGGGCAATCCACGTTCGCAGGTTTCGTGCACACATTCTGATCCATTCACTAAATTGGACAAGCCCTTTTAACCAAACAGTGTTGTACAATGTAATCCTGGGACCATTCTGTACAGTTTGTCATGATCTCTCACACAAGTAGCTCTCCAACCATTTATTTGCCAATCCCTTCATGCCACAGCTTTTGCTGTGATACAATTCTGCTAAAATTGTATCGTCAATCTTTATGCAGATCAATGAAAATTCCTTGTAAAATAAATTTCAAAACCATTTGTAATTTCTTCAATTAAAACAATTAGAGCAAGTGATGCTGATCTTTTATGCCTAAAGCCATACTAACTGTCAGAAAGTTTTATCCAGTTATTCGGAAAACTGTTGGAAAGGACACGGGTCTGGTGAAATCGTGTTTGTCATTCAATTTGAAAATTGGGATAACTTTTGCACTTTTCGATTGTGAGGGAAAATCAGTGAGTTGAAAAGATACATTTGTGTGTAAATTGTTTACACATATTGAAAAGTTCTCATGTCGATATAATTTATTGCAATAAAAGGTATTTTTGAACAGGTTTGGTTTAATTACAGTTAATGTCATATACCATGAATTCACCTTGGAGAGACCCATGAGGAAACGCATTAGACTTATTAGATTTAAGCATGTTTATTGATTGAGCATGTTTGGCGCCCT